ATATTATATATATATCCCATTCGTTCCGGGTATCACGTATATGTGGCGTGCCCACTATGAGTTTACTTGTTTAATTGTTTTCACACATAGATGGCTACACTTGTACTTGTACTGCCTGTCTCACCTGTTTACCCTTTTCTTTAATTTACGAAAATATTTTGTTATCTTATTTTGCTGTTACTAATGTTTATAACATTAGAGTAATTATGATGTTTATAAGAAAAATAACCATCGATATTCATAGCACTAGTAAAAACACATTTTTCTGCCAATTCAAGTAAAGGTGAAATCAGGTAAGGCAGAGCCAACTAGTGTAGAGACATTTCACAAAAATTTTTTTTAAAAATGAGCACAGCATTTTCCCCATTTTTTGTTCATTTTTACCCGGCGCGAATGGGTTAAATATATATAAATCCTTATAATACATGATTAATTAATGTAGGTAATACATAATGGTTATATATAGTAATATATCACTGATGTATATCATAAATAATAAGAAATAAGAAAGGAATAAAGAAACAAGAGAAACAATATAAAAATTGTATTTGTTCTGGTGACTAGAATACATTATTAAACATAACTTGATATAAATATGGCCATACAATATATTAATATATATATATATATATATATATATATATATATATATATATATATATATATATATATATATATATATATATATATATTTATATATATATTTATATATATATTTATATATATATTTATATATATATATATATATATATATATATTTATATATATATTTATATATATATTTACATATATATTTACATATATATTTATATATATATTTATATATATATTTATATATATATTTATATATATATTTATATATATATTTATATATATATATATATATAGTTATATATAATTAATATATATATATATGTGTGTGTGTGTGTGTGTGTGTGTGTGTGTGTGTGTGTGTGTGTGTGTGTGTGTGTGTGTGTGTGTGTGTGTGTGTGTGTGTGTGTGTGTGTGTGTGTGTGTGTGTGTGTGTACATATATATAAATGTATATTCTAAAAACAAAACACTCATAAGGACAGTAATGCTTCTACTGAACTAGTATAAGAAAATGTTTCAAAACCAAAAAATATTGGATTTCACTTTGATAAACGTGCCCACGCTTTAGGTAAAAGAAAAAAAAAAAAAAAAAACAGTTGAGCACTCTCTTTGTCTTCATGAAATGGTCAAGTTTGAAAAAATACTGTAGAAAGGAGGTTTCTTAACCCAATGAGGGCTCTTCATTCTCTTCAGAAGAATGTAATACACAGAAGATTCAATGAATAGATAAAATTAGTCATGAAGTCATCATTACCAAAAGACACTTAAATGGAGAAAATTATGAATGAATCTCGTAAATAAAAAAAATAGTACAAGAGTAGACTGACTAGTACAGCAATGAAAGTTGTTTACAATCAAATAATATTATAAACTGAACTAAGACAGGCATCAAAGTGTAACCTCTTTGCAATTCTACTTTGAATATATAAGCAAAAGCTTAGCAGTTTTGCAAAGAGAAGAGCAAGTCAACATTATACAACACTGGCAAGAGGAAAAAAAATGTGTTACAAAGACAAACTTGATAAAATACAAGAGGAGTCATTTTCCCTTGTACAGAAAGTCCCCAACTCACGAACATAATGGGGACTGAGAGGCTGTTCGTAACTCCATTTGTTTGTATATCCAAAGTCAGGTCTCCAGTGCCTTTTTTCCCATTGTTTTAAAGTTTTGTTCACATTAAGAATACCTGTACATAAATTCCAATAAGTATTTTTGATGGACTGATGCACAGGTAAAGCAAATTATGGCACAAAAATTGGCGGTACACAAGGACACAGTGAGCAGATGCTTTCGTATTTATGGCGGGAGGACAGGTGACTGTGCAAAGCTGAGTGAGCGCGGTAGTGCCACGGCGTGGCAGACTTGCGAACTATATTCGCGCCCGGGAAATTTGAAGTTTGCTAGCATCTTTCAAACAATTTTTTACTTAAGTATTTTTAAAAATTTGTTTGTATGTATGGAATGTTCGTAAGTAGAATGTTCGTAAGTATGGAACTTACTGTACTGATTATGGAAACTCCAAAAAGCATTTACAAAAATAACACTTGAGAAAAGAAATGGTTAATGGTGGTTACAAACCACACACACACAAATTCAAAGTGCTCCTTCACCTTTTACAAAAGAACCTTCAAAAACACACACTGTATCAAATATAATACCTTGCTGGCCTTACACCAACTTTCTTTGGAAATGACACGGGCATGAACACAGTTACATATGTTTGTACAAAAAGTGTACATATATATATGTATTACATATATATACATATTACATTTATATATATTACATATATATTTATATATAGATATATATATATTTATATATATATATATATATATATATATATATATATATATATATATATATATATATATATATATATATATATATACATACACATATACGATATATAGATAAATAAATGAAGGACTCCAGCAAATGTCACTAACCAAAGGAGATAATAAGTCAGAAGACTGAACACTTATATTTTCACATCAAGGTCGTAATTAAAAGATAAAGAAGAAAAAAGTGTTACAACAACTTTCATGACACAAAACTTAGAATATGTATTCAATATGCTTGTATCCTGACTTTCTGCTCTTAACCCCTTGGTGCCGGGTGACGCCGATCGGCGTGTACACAAAGAGCTCGAAAGCTGGCGTGCAGCCGAACGAGCCGAGCCAGTGATTCGGGCTGATGTCCCCTACTCACGCGCTCAAAGTCGGCGCGCCGCCTTTGTTTGTTTAAGCGTAGAGTTTTTTTTTTCTTTTGTACACCCGGCGCTATTGGGTTAAGATGTATCACTGGCATTCAAACAATCTATCAATCAATCTGACAAACTAATTCAATAGTGATATAGAAAATGTAAATTCAAGGATACACTTGGCCAGAACCACTGCTCCCCCTCAATAAAATAAATATATTTTCCAATTTAATATCTAAAATAGTCTCAAAATTTAATAATACCCTTCATAATTTCTAATATGGACCCCATAAAAAACTACATCATTACTACTATCAGGCATAAGGATTCTCATTTCAATCTCGTAATTCTACGACCTAATCCTTCTCTACAATCTGTAAAATTGCACAACAAAATCTAGATAAAGCACAGCTTAGCTGCATGAGTTATCTGAACTAAAACAGCATACTGGAACTTTACCCACTATTCAAAAGTATATTGGGCGGAATTATATATCTACACATTGCATTTCCCGACAAATTCCATAATAACTAAAGTAATGGCAACGATTTCTAGAAATATTATGACACGTGATGGCACTCAACTCTTGCATTCTCAGTTTCTTTCTATTTTTATCAGGAAGTGTAAAAATCTTATAAAACTGGGAAAATCTTCCAAAAACTTTTGAGCTTTATAGAGAGCAAAATTTAACAATGCTAGTTTACTATCAACTACCAGCATTTTCTACTATACAACAAAGTAACGATACCGATCAACAAACTTTACAATAGTAACAATTAACTCTAGAAGAAGCTGGAAATAAAAAAGTAAATCCTAGACTTACAGCCATCATTTAACAGTCTGCAGGAAGAAAAACAACTCTGAATTAATTCCCTCTAGACAAAGCTTAAAAAAAAAAAACTTTCTTCTAAAGCATGACCCTCATACATGTTATACACAGCCCAATCTGCATATTTCTAACAGATAGGATAACCATAATCTAATAACAATGATTGTATATTAACTTATAACTTAAAATAACTGCATAGCATCCATAAGCAATGAAAAATATAAATACTGAAGGGTAACTTGAGGTCTTTTGCAAAATTGGAAGACTGGATATCAGTTGCTGTCAACATTGCTCAAACTGACATGACAGCATGAATCCTACAATGGATGTGCTAAAGTACTTTCTCTTCCTTTATCATTATATGTATTAATCTATATTGAATAAACCAGTGTGACATCAACTGACCAAAACCAGCTGATGAGAAAGAAAACCTGGTTGGATTCTTGGCATAGAAAATACTGTATATGGAAACAGGTTGCCATATGCAAATGACAAATCTTTAATTTTCTTGGTAGGAAGCTTAGACCACCTCGAGAAGTAATCTGTCAAGGATATCAACCTTACTTTGGTATTAATCTTTTGTGCACTTTTAGATCCTTGTCACTGTCTTCAAGCTGTAACACTAAAACATTTCTCAAGCAAACAATTGGTGTTCTAAAAATGCAGCATATAATTTCTTTGGGCTCTCTAAAATCTTAACCTCGTAATAAGTTACAAGTGTAATTCATCTGACATATAAACTAACAAATGCAATCCATGTGCTACATAAATCAACAATAAATATCTTCCATTCAGTGCACCATCTATTGATATATTAAGGCACAGTGAAATAGCACTTTACATTATCAGGAACACTATTTACATCACAGAATGTGCTGAAATTTGAAATTACATTTCCATGGCAAATAATTCTCAAAACTAGCCATGTATCAAAAATAAGCAAGTAAGTACACAGGCTAAAAATAATGATAAATAAACAGATAATTAAAGAAAGGACCATTATCCCACTTGTTGCCTAAGGTACAGGTTGTAGTGAGGTGTGACTGTTGCTGTGTCTGTGAGGTTTCATTGACTACATTTAATCTTTTTTTTTATGCAAACTCCCACCCTTAGGTGAGTGCCCCCCCCCCCACACTATTCTTGAACCTTTGACTAACTATGCATATACTGAATCTTCTACTTGCCTTGGATGGGATATTTACCTCATAAACAGATAATGCATGTATAAAAAAGCATAAAAAAAAAAATCAAAGAAATCTATAAGCTGGGATCAGAGGGTCACAACATATGGCTACAAATAATCAAATGACTTCAGCACAATTCTTTCCATTAAAAAAATATCACCTCCAGCAATCAAAAACCTACAAGAGAAAAAAAAAAAAAAGAGAAAAAAAATTACAACTCTCACAACAATAATTCGGTCACAACAGCAAGAGGTCTTCTGAAGGCACGAGTCCTCCATGAGACCCTCCCTTATAGCTCCACCGTGACAACCTCACTTTCCAAGAGACACTCCTCCTCGCTCGCATCTTCGTCTGCTACCCTGCTGGACTCGGAACGCATCACTCTCCTGTTGGTGAGAGTGCTTCTTTTAATGAAAAACAATCTGTCTGGGGATCCGTTTAGTTTTCTATCTTCCGGAATCTGTTTAGGAGGAGGAGGAGGAAAGAGGAGGAGGAGGAAGGGAAGATGGAGGCAGGGTTAGAAGTAGAGGTGGAGGTCAAGGAGTGGGAAGCAGAAAATGAGGAGTAGGAGGAGAGGGAGGAAGGGGAGAGAAGTGAGGAGGTGGTGGAGGAGGAGGAAGAGGAGTGGGAGGGGGGAGGGGGGGAGAAGGAGGAGGAAGGAGGAGGAGGAAGAGGAGGAGGAAGAGGAGGAGGAGGAGGAGGAGGAGGAGGAGGAGGAGGAGGAGGAGGAGGAGGAGGAGGAGGAGAGAGAAGGGGGAAGGGGAATGGGGATAGGGAGGAGAAAGAAAGAAAGGGGAATCTAAATAATGCAATAGAAGATACAGGCAAAGAAACATATAGTAATGAATGCAATAAAATCAACATATTCCCTCACCTGTGTACATATCCATTAATCAGCGAATCGGCTGACACAGCTCTACGATCCCTCCTTGACAGCACACAGGCCAGGATGCCAATAAGCCCAACAAGAATCACTAAGCAACCTGTAATGATAATAATAAAACATGCTAATGATGATGACAATACCATAATAATAATAATAGCCATCATCAATATCTGTACATTATCTATTTATCATCATTTTGTTTAAATAATAATAACAGGTATGTCAAACTTATAATCTTGCATTAGTGATAATGTGAGAATACAAAACACAGGGTGAAAACAATACTTATAACTGCCTTTAAGAGATGCTCGCATAGAAGAACTAAACATACATAAAATACGTAAAAAGAAACTACTAAATTACCCAAAAAAATATACATATATACTTCTACCTATATAACAAAATATGCTACCTTAGATGTAATACATAGGTTATCAAAACTATTATTTTTCAAACAAAATAATAAATAACTAATCCCAAACTATATTCCATAATCAAGCTTATTAGTAGAAAACCCACAGTTATTTTTCATTTGTAGCAATGCTATTATTAATTCTGCATTAATTCCACTACAATCAGAGACAGTGGCATAAAAATAAATCAACAACAGATGTATAATCATTAATACAGTTAAAGGAATGACACTGAGAAGGCCCTAATGCAACACAGAAAGGAAATATCAATTCATCTTTCGTCCTAAATTTTCACGTTATTTTAAGAATAATGAATTTGTTTCTAAGTGTTTTAATATCTACTTTTCTTCAAGTGAAATCATTTAATTCATAAATTTATAAACCTTTGCAGATGATGATCATAAAAAAATATGGAATAAAAAGAAATTGGAGCCATTCCTTTTTTCTCTTTTTTTTTTTTATTAATATTTACTTCTCAGTACTTTTTTGTTGGAATCAACCACTCAGCAAGTCAATCAAACACCACACACCAAAATCAAAATCAAAAATCAGAATTTACTGGTTATCAAATTAACAGCAGAAAAAAAAAAAAAAAAGTTTCTAACTGACCTAAATCACAAAACAAAAAATTCACCGCAATGCCGAGTCTGCCTGAGCTCTTGTCAGTTGCATATCGCTTAATCCCCTTAATAATTCTTACCCCTTTTAATTCCTCTGTTCTTTGAAACATATTTGTTAAAGATCTACTATGAACCACTATTTATTTACTTTGGCTTTGCCCTCTTAGGTGTTTAGGCTTGTCTACTTTTGCCTTTTTTAAATAGTGAACACATAAAAGTCTGAGTTATTGTTGATAATATCTTAATGCACATTTTGTTTGATGAAATAAATGGATGCACTACAATTTCAAATTCATTTAATATACTTCATTACTTTTTTGTCTCAAATATTTTCTACACCAGACAGAAATATTCATTACTGGATAATATTTAGTACAGTCCGTAAATCATGCAAGTTAGCATGTACTATTTAGTGCTATGTAAATCACTACACTCTTGTGATAAAGAATTATGCAGTAAAATGCATTTTATGTGCAAGTGATTCAGACCTTCCTGTTAGTATAATAATACATTTTCTAAGAATAGTAAAACATTCTACCATGTTAATGCTATGGTAGAAAAACCCATAATGCACAAACTAGATATATTAAAAATGAGACAACAGTTTCAAAATTCACCTGCATTCCATCTTTAGGTCTGAGGGGGAAGGGTAGAGGAGGTAGTATAAAAGTTGAACAAAAGCAAAGGGAGGTCATATATATATATATATATATATATATATATATATATATATATATATATATATATATATATATATATATATATATATATATATATATATTATATATATATATAGACATACATACATACATACATACATACATACATACATGTATGTATGTGTATATATATATATGGGGACAGTGATCTAGAGCCATAATTATATTTATATATTATCTTTTTTATTTATCTGACCAGCTCGTGGAAAATACTAATAGCTGGTGGATAATATCAAAGCTTCATCAACAAATGAAATAATCAAATAATACAAAAACCTGCTATGAAGTTTTCAAAAAGTGCCTTAAATAAATGTACTAATAATTCCAAAGCACTTACCTAAATAACTTTTTAAATATGAAGCAAATATATATACAAATAAAATAAAACGAAGCATAAAAACAACAACAACAACAGCAACAACCTGGAGAAAAAAAAATCAATGCATAACACAAATACCTGAATAAAATAACGTAAAACCAAAACATCCATTTAACCCTTTGCTTAACAGATGCCCCCAAAAAACATTCACGGAATTGCAATGAATTCAGAGGGTGATCCTGATCCACTATCTCCAAGGACATAGGTATAATTCATCAAGTTTCATCACTTTCTCCATGGAAAAACAACTTTTCTAAGCCGGGTTTCTAGCTTAAGTTAGCTCCCACAGCACGGATTTGACATCTAGCACACTGACGGGATCAGGTAACAGGTACTCCAGCTTACCACCATTAAGCCTACAGGGGTGTCATTAGTTGCAAAGGGTTAACATTGTAAAAAAGTAAATAAATACATACATAGATATATATACAAATACATAAACGTGCAAAAACAATCTCTTCGGAAATAACTAAGACATGCAAATAATCATGCCATGAAAGCACACAATAGACTACTGCAAATGTCTTGTAGTGCCAAAGCCAAGGCAAGCCAAGGAACAGCATTACAGATACTAATCTGACGTGTAATGTGATCCGAGGCAGTCAGAGAGACTCAATACCTTCTAGCGTCAAAGTGGATCCACCAAGAATGTGAGTGCGAATAACCCTGGCCAAAACAGACATCGTTATTGGGTGGAAATTTATTGCACAAGAATGGTTAATAAAATAAATCATTATAAAATATGCCTAACCTAGTTATACCTATGTGTCAGAAGCAATTGGCAAAAAAAAAAAAAAAAAATATGGCTGTAAGATGAGGCGAACCCTTTGGCTGTATTAGGCAACTGTAGTCATAATTCTAATTTATTATTCATGACACATTACGGGGCTATAACCTACATCCCTAGAAAAACTTTGGTCTATATGCCCTTCAGCCTAGTCTGCCTGGAAAATGCTCCCACCTTGGTCCCTCTTCTTTCCAGAATGTCATGTCTTGATACATACATACATACATACATACATACATACATATAATATGTATATATATGTATATATATATATATATATATATATATATATATATATATATATATATATATATATATATATATATATATATACATATGTATATATATGTCATATTTTCTTTGTTTTTTGCTTTGATTATAGATGATGAAGAGTATTAATAAACAACTTCTTGTACAATAAAATAATAACCACTTGAGAAAGATAAGTTGGTTTTCAGGCAATTTAGTAGACTGTGAGTAACCCATGTTGCTCCTGATACAAAAGTAAGCTCATTACAAATTGGTAATCTTCCACAGTTTCATAAATAAAACAAAACCTTTCTTTTTCCTTTCTTTTCAGCCTTCTTATAGTCAAACATATTTTTTTTACTGTAATTCCCAAAAAGGAAAGCAACAAGAACATTCAGAATAACACTCATTTCTTAGCCACATATGAGGTGTACAGGCTACAAAATCCTAGGCTGATGTC